AAACTTATTTGACGCTAAAATTAGTCGTGAACTCTTCTCCAATAACGATCATACAAAAATGTTTAGACTTACAATTAGTGCTCTTATCTACGCACACGTCACTCGGTCAGACTTCAGTTGAAATAGAATGATTCGATCTTGCGTATCCTGGTATCCGCAAGTATCAGCACGTTAATTTGCAATACTATAGAAAAAATATTACACCAAATGTTTCAAAGGGAACAGTTACGCTCTGGGAAAGAATAATTGGTTGAATAGTCAAAAAGTTGTCCGCGTCAAATAACATTTTACGCTGACATAGCAGAAAGGCGAAATTGTACAGAAATTAACACATATTGCCAGTCAGTGGGTGAGTGCAACGAAACCACAAAAAAAAGAGTATAACGTTTTTTCAGCTAATTTCGCGCCCCGCCTGCGATGTGTTCCGCGATTGCGATTGCGCCGGCCCAATCTCGCGGCCATTCAGCCGTACCTACTCTTTTTTTTCGACTATTCCATGATCGGGGCGCGACGAATAAAACAGAAGTTTTTTTATCCACTCGGTTCGAATAAACGCAACCGACCTAGATCGAGTCCCGGGATCCAATGGGTGTCGTTATTTATGAGCGAGCAGCAACACGATGGCATGCTTAAAATTTCTCGTCGTAAAAGCCCGGGCTGCAGTGCGCTTTAAAGCTGGGAAGAGTATACGCGCGCCGGAGGATGTTTATGAAAACGGGATGCTACGCGGTCCTTAACGAAACAGATTTTGACGTCGGGTATCCGTGTCTTATAGTCGCGTGCTTGTACGTTCAATTAACTCTTCAGTATTCGCCGAACAAAAATATATTATTCCTGTTTATCGATTCAAAAGAAAGGAAAAGATAGTATTCCGTTATTTTTTTTTATAAGAATAAAAATATATATTTAAAAAATCATGTAATTTGATCATTTTGGTATATTTTTTCACAAATTTTAAGTAATCTAAATGCTAAGTACAATTGGCATTATAATGAAAAATTCTCGCGAGTACGATTATACTTTTGAATGTTAAAAAGTCAGTATTCGAATAAAAAAGAGCGTGTTCCGCGATCAGAGGTTTATTACAAAGTTTCGTTACAGTGATTACTAAAGGTGGCGTACGTGTCACGCATGCAATTCTGCTTTCGGAGGAAGTGCGTGCAAGTTGCTCGTTGCAAAGAAACGATTTTATGGAGTTAAATTGGCTCGTAACAGGAAATTCTATCGTTTTGCTTCTGGTCGATATTCGCATGAATTACGTGGTGTGCGACAACAATTCCTGTAACAAAATACTTTCGCCACTAGCTTTTATCATCTTAAAAATTTTCAAACAACTGCATTATGTTTACGTTTAAAAAAGCTTATTATTATATATGAGTATAAACTATTAGTCGTAAAATAAACGATCAGTCAATTAATTAAATTTTATTTCTAGCTGCTAATTACTTCAATTTTGTCATTGAATTATAATTTACATCATAAATCGATGTATTCCTTTGATATTTGTAATATTATACCAAAATTTGAGCTTTTAAAATACAAAGGATACCATACGTTATTTGTAACAAATAAAAACTTTTATATTTCATGATTACGAGATGCAAGGAAAGAAGGTGTCACTGCGAAAATCATACGACCGTTCGCGGGAAGCAACGTGCTAAAGCTGCAACGAGGCAAGATGCAAACTGAACGCTGTTATCCGTATCACTCGGCGCGGTTCGGCGCGGCGGGTTTTTTCTCTCTCTTTATCATTTCCGGCTTTAACATTTCGCGAAACTCACGAGCGCACACTCGACGACATATAACGAACGCGAGAGAGTGGAAGCAACGAGAAGCGACACGTGATGCTGGAAACGTAGGTTTCTCAACTTCGGCTCGGAAGAAAGGCAGGGTGGGTGAACGAGATCAACACGCGGGGGAGAGGAAAAGAAAGAAATAAAACGGCAAGCGGTAAGCAAGGTCCCAACGAGGAATACGAGAGCGTAAGCGCGTAGAGAGAATGCAGTGGCTCGTATCGTCGAGTTAAGCATAAAAGAGAATGACCTTAACTGCATCGAACGACTTTTCGCGTATTACAAAATTTTAGAAGCAATTTCCGCCGAATTACCCGCGTCGTCGAAATTACTTATAGGCCGTGCGAGCACTGCAAACGCGGAATCGTCCACTTATTTTTTGCCGAGTCTATGCGCTCAAAATTTATGATTATATTAGCCATATCTCGCATGCGAAAAGACACGAGGGAAAAAGAAAGAAATACTTAAATAAGAAAAATAACGGATAGATAGAATGCGTTCCGTTTTGCGGAAAGCGAGCGCAAATGCAGCGTTATTTCTTGCAAAGTTTACATTTGATATTATTCGCAATAACTCTAACGTTACGTCAAGTCTACAGTGACTCCAAAATGCAAATTACATCTAGCATGACAACTCTTATAGCTGTCGCCATTCACAATTGCTTCGAGAATTCGTGAGTGAAAACTGAAATGGAGATTCGGGATGCACCCGGTATATGTTTCATAAACAATTTTTGATAGAGGAGAGTTGTGTGCAAAGTTCTTTATTCTCGCACATCCATCTCGAAACGATACAACGATCGATGACAGGGCAGTCTACACTACACGTCAAAACTGCTTCCTACAAATTGATTGTTTCAGTTATTTTTACAACTAGGACGTTTTACGAGACAAGTGACATTTTCTCGTTGCGCCAAAAACGACGGTTATAAACGCCGAAAGTTCTGACACTTTTTTTACATTGTTTTACCGCTGTAAAAACGTTTTTTTTTCGCGTGGTAGCCACGCGAGATTCGGAAAAAAATATTACAGAGTGTTGAACGAGCGAAAAAGCAGAAGTTGATCTGCGGATAACAAAATTCAAAAAGTTAACCGCTTTTCATTAAATATATATTGCCAAACTTTGCGTCGGTAGCATCAATTTGATGGTACCTTAAGTAATTTAGACGCAAATGAACTAATTTCGAAAAGTAAAAAGTAAACGGCGACTTTCAAACTTCTAAAGAAGATGAGGAACGAGAGTCGGTGTCTTTTTGCAAGCTAAATACGTTTTCTAATATTCCGGTATATTAGACGCCGCACACGCTTGCAATGTGCTCTGATGAAGTAAGAAGAGATTCCGAGTTTTACCCTCGAGTACCCTAATTAAAGCAGAAAGTTTTCGAAGCGATATGAATCCGCAGTTAAATCAAGAAAATTCTCTTTACAAAATAAACAATTTTCTTTCTTAGCCTAATTGTATAAAAATAGATTCGTATTTCTTCTGAAACATCCCTACTTTACTTGAGATATAAAAGTTTCAAGCTGAATTTGGAGAAATATAATAATAAAAAATATTTATCCTAATATTTTGTAACAATTTTGTGTAAAGAATAATCTAATAATAATAAACAATTGCCAGAGACCTTTTCTTATTCCTCAAGTTTCCCTTTCGCGACACGAACTGTTATATATGCGACATAATTACATCTCATTGAGTTCGACGGCCGATGTGCCAAGGAGAGTTTATTTGTAGGAACGTAACGCGTGACATAATCGCAAGTGTGGAGCGATTTTCATTCAAGGTTGATTATCTTTAGTCAACTACAGGATGATCTCACGATTCGTATCGCACGCGGTCTATTATTGCAATATAATAAGTGGGAAGAAGATCACGTGACTGTCAATTATTACGACATTATCGCAATGGCGATTACCTTGGCGATTACTTTGGTCGTCATAATCATAAACGATAAGCGTAAACGTTGCAGAAATAATCCGATTAAAAACCGTAAGATCGGATCGTAAAGCGTTTATGCGTGTCGGTTTTTCTCAATAGAGACGTTTCTCGATTGCAAGATAAAAATTTTGCGACAATTGCACAAAGCGAGTCGCGATGTGGTCGCAAGAACAGAATTTATTATTGTCATTATTGTGTTTGAACCGCGACACGAATCGCCCATCGTTCTTCGAGAAACGATCGAAACGTGTTGCCTCGGCGACGAGGGACTCGTCGTCAGGCGTGTGCGTATAGAGGCGCTGAAAAGATAAACGGAGCCACACACGGGGGCAAAGGGGAGAGATCCCCGCGCTACTGTTTTCCAGGAAAAAGAGAGACGCGATTTTGAGGTCATCGCCGCCACGATGGCTTACGATGCGAGCGCGTTAATACGGCATTACGTCATTTCGACGCGGCGCGGCGCAGCGGCGACTGGACGATTCGTCACTTCAATGCCTCGTTAATCGGGCTCACATTCTAGATCTCGGATCTCGTCTCGCTGATCGATCTTCCCCCCTTCGATAATCACGCGGAAACGCGTCGATTTTTCTTCTTCTTCTTTACGAGAAAGAGAGAGAGAGAGAGAGAGAAGAGAAGAGAAGAGAAAAGCGATAATCATAAATGCGAGTTTTTGCGCGATCCACACTTTATCATCATTCTTAACGTTTGATTATCCAATGAGATCGAAAATAAAATTCTGCTTGAACGTAAACGTAAGCGCCGTGCGCCGCGCGCCGATGAGAATGCACGCGGCGGGTCGTGGAGTTCGGAGTAACCATAAGTTCGAAATGTCTCCACGACGATATTGCTCAGTGTAACGACTAATTTGCATATTTACATCACTCGGGGGTCGTACGTGATTACGTTGTTGACAAAATTGCCGCGTTTAATAACGGAATTTGCAATATTAATTGCGACACCAGCAATATCTACCTACGCGACTGTTTTGCGTTACTCGTAATCGACACCGCACATATGGCGTCGGCCAAATACGGGGATTACTAATTAACGGGAGCACTGTTAACGACATTAAATGCAATAATAGCAATTCATCTCCTGAGAATGGTACGCTGTTCAAACTTGGGCACTCCTGTCCGAGAGAGCCGCCGAGTCGCGGACCATTTCGAGACGCAAAGTGGATGTTTTGCATCAGCCGGCCTAATATAATGTTTCGCTCACTCACGCGACACACAGAGGCGCGTGTATACAGTCCGTAGAAAAATCACATACCTGTTCGATCACTCCGCGCGGAGCCAGCAACTTCAGCAAGCGCTCGATGTCAGGAGAGTCTTGGGGAATCTGCAAGCTCTCCGGGACGACGACGACGACGACAAGGCGACGCAGGAAGTCACGAAGAACCGAGGGCTGGATAATCTCTCTCGTGCACAACTATTCACAACAGATCGGAGCAGCACATCAAATGACAGAGTCACGCGACACGCCGTCGATGCCGGCTTACGACTGATCGTGTACTGATCTTGAAAGTCGGTATAGGCTTTCTCACGTGATCTCGAAAGAGACGAGACAAGTAAATCTACCAATTATAAGTAATTCCGCGCTATCGCTATTCCGTCCGCTCGGAATATCGCGGACGCGTTAATCGCAGCTCGTTCTCGTTCGTCCAGCGACCCGGCTTCTCGCCCGCCCACGCAACACCAACCAAACCCCTCGGAACGCGGCAGCCGACTGACGTGGGACGCGGGACGGATGCTGCGACCGGTGTGCGGTGTGCGTAGCCTTGCCGCGCGCGCGACACTCCACACTCCACTCGCGGCGCTCGCTCCCTACCTACCACTCACCCTCTCCTCACTCATCCTCTCCCCCTATCCCCTATCGCCGCTATGGCTGCTATGCCGCAAGCGCCGGTTCTCCCGCGCTCTCATCCTCGCATTCGCGCGACTCACGTTGCAGCGTGTACTTCTGCTCTGTCTCCGTTAAACATATCTATACCACAGAATCGGCTCTCTCTCGCTCTTTCACACCTCCGTGGTATTATACGGGGACGCGATTCGACTCGTTCGCTTTCATTAACTACATTTCAACACTGACAGAATGGATGCGCCGATAATTGAGAGGGTTGGAATGGAAAGTATGGAGAGTATATTAATTATACTATTTTTTTTTCATCTCCTGTTTTTCACTTTCCGCCCTGTTGCCCGTTCGCTTTCGTGCAACCATTTTTTTGTCGGATATTCCTACGTATATTGCGCTTTGTAACGCAACGGCTTTTCGCCGTGTGTACAGTTGAAGATTTTTTAATAAAAGATAATTAAAAGAAGAATATATTCCCCTTAGTTCTGTCTCTACATGTAAAGATTACTAACGTATTTTTATATCTTAATTAATTAATTATTATTATACAGTATTTCAATTAAATTTACAATATATTCGTATTCGTCGTTCTTTTTTCTGAGTGACGAAAACATATCGATCAAAAGGTGAGATTAAAAATAATTGAATTTCAAGAATAATGTCGAACGAATTTTTCTTGAAATATTAAATATTAGCAGATATACACATTTAAAATATCTTTATTATTAATTCGGAAATGCTGATACGTTTGACACGTTACAATTCCTTACTTTATATTTTCTTTCTTTCTTCTTTCCTTCCTTCGTAATCTATATCTACTTGGTCTCAAATGAGAAAAGTGGAAGCCAATGCAGCAAAAATAAACGAATGGACCCACCGCCTTATATGGCGGCCGAAAGTCAGAGGTAAGTGACCGGCTGCACCGAAGCGCGGACCATCTTATACAGGCATGTGTCTCTTTCGCTCTTCCGTCTTACAGGCATCTGCTTTCTTGCCCTTGATGTCGGTTCTTCACTCTCCGGTTTATTCTTTCGCTTCGACGAACCCGCGTCTCTCGTCCCTTTTAGTCCCTTATCTTTGCCCTCATCCCCGCCCTCCCCGTGTGAGCCAATGTCCCCTGCGATGCAGGGATGAGAGTGCGTACGTGGCCGTGGGCACGTTCCTACGCACGACGCCCAACGTTCCGCAGTTGGCGCATACGTGATGTATTCGCGTTGCATCGAGTGCCGAAGCGTCCGCATTCAGATGCATTCGTCCCCGGAATTTCAATTCGGCCACCAGCCAGCACACGCGCGATCGAGTTGGTGAACTCGGCAAGCATAAGCGCGAGAAATTATCGGTTTTGTGAAACAAAACCAGCCAAAGAATCTTTACTCGGAGTCTCAATTACGATTTAGTAATTGAGATCTCCCGACCCTTCTGTTTCGTTTTTATTTATACGAAACATGGTTTTATCTTTTCTATTTATAGCAGTTTTCGGCTTAACATTCTCAATTTACTGGTTTTCGAAGTCAATATTGCGCAGTTAGATTAATAATCGTGTAAACATTGCTTTAACAAATGCAAAAATATATTTCGTTGAAATCACATATTAAAAGGGCTTAAAGGGCATGCATTTAAAGTAATTTAAACACGCTGAATGTGTGCGGAAAAGAGGAGTTAACATATTTCCATGACTACAAAAATCGTAAAAAATGTCCGATTATATTTGGAAGTTTTGCAGTTACTGCATTTTGTGTATATATATATATTTTTTTTTCTCGAAATTAACATTTGGTGCTTTTACTTTAGTTTCTCCCACTGGTATGTATTTTGAATTAAGGTTCGTTCTGGGAAACCGCTGTACCACTACTTTGCATTCGCGTTTAATTCACGTTTTTCCTGTATTAAATATATTTATTCGCATACATATATTCTATATATAATATAAAGTATACTATAAAATTTACTAATGCGGCTTTAACGCGGCCAAAAGACGACGCCTTTCGGTCATCTAAAAAAAGCGCAGATTAGACGGTCAGACCGCAATTTAATCCACAGAATTCGATTAAAGCCGCTCTTGACTACCAAAGTTTTCTTCGAAAAACTACTTACGTCTGCCGGTGGCGCGAATGCGCTCGGGAAACGGACACAAACCAACGTTTCGCACGCGGATTAATTTGGGCGCGAGGAAATGCATTCTTAGAATCATCGGGCTTTCCGTCGTAAAATCCGCGCGCGGTCGCCCATATCGCACGATTTATTTCCTTTGGCGACCGCAATATTCCTCCCGCTATTCCTACGACTGCCGAATGCCTGGTGAACTTTAAAGGAACAGTCATACGAGAGCTATGGATCCCCGTACTTAGTATCCCTCCGCGAAACTTTAATTTCTCAACGACCTCGCGAAAGTCTCGACGGCGCCGCCGCGCCGCCAAGTCTCTCTGCGGCGGGATGTGTGCACTGTGTGCTGTCGTAACTGAAAACTTTTTACAACAACGACAATGGCGCATAGTATAAACGTTTATATTTACGTTGTCTGAGCCTTATTAAGTAGAGTAAAAGGGTATCTCTTTCAAGCTTATATTTCACTTGTATAATATATCATTAGAAAAGTACCAAGTACCAAGATAGAGTAAAGATAAATTATTAATAGATACCTACCCTAAAAATATTCATGTGTTTAGAATTCACTGGCTATACTGGGATTAAGCGGATTATCTACCTACGTTTATTATTATCAATCGATTTAGTTCATCAGCTTATTATTTCACTGAAACGTTCTATATGAACGTAATGGTATGGGAAGTACGAAAACGTTTTTCATATACTGAATTTTTTACAGCGGTCGGATAAAAACTATCCGAGCGGACGAATAATAAACTAGATATACAATGGCAGAAAACTAATGGATTTTAAAGCGCGAGCATTTAAATCAAACCATTCATTTATACTTTTATTCGCGTTTATTTATTAAATAATGGCAATTAAAAACACCGCGCATTTACCATGGTAAAAAAAATGCAGTATGCATGGTATTCGTCAAAAGTACAATCAGCTCAATCCACCGAAATGTGGAGTGACGTCCCGGCCCGGCGTTTGACTGGCGTCGAGATTTATTCGTCTTTTCATCCACGTCAGCCCGTTGAATTAATTTCGTCTGTTCTGAGGATTACCGTATTCAATCGTTTACCGCCGTAGGTCCGCCGTTTATTATAATCGCCATTAAAATCCGTCTCCACCTCGGCATGGCTCGGCGTGTTTGCTCGAATTAGCATTATTATTTCCCGACGTTTTTTTCTGTCCCCGCCGTTGACAATTACGGATTACAAGCGATAAATTAAAGCTCAGCTTAATTACGAGCTTGCGTGTCATACCGACTCGCGCGAACGTTGCACGGCATGCCATGCGTTAAAGGCGTGGAGAAAGGGCAGAGTACAAAGAGAAGGGTGGAAACGGGAGGAGAGGAAGGATAAAGCAACGGCTGATGCCTACGTTGCGTTGAAGCGCTATTTGCACAATTTTTTTTCCTCTCATCTAGCTGGATTAATGCGTAAACCGAGCACCTCATGAAGAAACGGCAGCGGCGGGCCGGCCGTGCCGCGTGACAAATAGTCGTCGGACGCGAGTTGATTCGAGTACCGTCCTTTTTTTTCCCCCTTCTCTTCTCCCTTTTTTCTCTCGTTTTGCATCGCAACCTTCGCTACTTCACGTCGCAACGCTTTGGCGAATACGCAAGAGAGACGAGATTTCGCGGCAGGGAAACAGGCGCTTATTAGCAACGACAGCGCGACCAGTCCGGATGCTTATCCGGCTGAAAAATCGCGTCTCTCGCGCACGAACCGCACGAGCTTCTCTCGCGGTTTCCTGTTTTTCATAATTTCCGCGTTGTCACCAATTAAATCTTGGCACTTGCAAAATTGGATCTTTTTTTTGCACTTTTTATACCGCACCGCAGCTATACCCCTTTGGTGTGCTTAAAGCGAGAGGTATACAAGTGGACGGTGGAATAAAGGAGAAATAAAAATATAACCGTGTCAGGCGTTTTGTAAAAGAATAGGGTATGGAATGCGGGTATGGAAAACTGAAACGGCTGAAACACGGCGAGAGCTAATTTCGGTCGGTTTTCCATGAAAGTTCGCGCATATATTCGTAATGAGACGACCGCAAATAACGGTCGGGCGGAACTTTGACATTTACCGGAATGGAAGATTGATATCGCGGGCGCGCGCACGTATGGACACATGACACATACGTCAAAATCAACGAGACCACGTGAATCTTTCAGAGGGAGTTATATTCTTCGCGAGAGCGATTGGAGCATCGGAACATCGCTAAATATCATTCGCGGTTAGTGGCATGGATGTGCGCGATAGTCACATCACACGCGCGGAGTGCATCGACCCCGAGGATAAATCGAGAACGGCGGGATGAGTGGCTGAATAATTTCTGACTGTCTCGGAGACATTGTTGGCAGCGTGCACTCGTGAAAAATGTACGGCGATATCACGATTGTCAGATGTTCGTAGTTCGTACGCTCATGCCAGTTAGGCTGTTAGGATAATGCAAATTGCGAAAGAAGGAAAGCTGTCAATCTCATAGTTGCTTTATTTGAAAAATGGATTATTCGTGTCATCGTCTTATCTTGAGTATCTCAGTTCATGAATTTAGTTTCCTAAACGTGATATTTATTATACGCCAGAAAAGATTTCTTTTGTTTCATTGATCATTGATAATGCAATTAATTAAAATAAAAATGGAAGATTAAACGATGGAAGTTCTCTCTTGGTAAGGATGATGTACGAGAGAATACTAAAATACTTAGCATTACAAAAATTTATCCCACCTGCTGCAATATAATATTTAAAATATGATCGCGTTCGCAAACTTTTTTCAACCAAAGATAACCAAAACAGCTAGCTTTTTCATCTCTAAATGGATTGCTTAC